CGGCCTTCCTCCGCCCCCCCCGGGGAAGCCCGCGCCGGGCTCTCTGGCCTCGCCCGGGGGTCGCTGCGGCCCTCGTCTCTGAGAAACAAACCCCCGATTGTCGGGGATCGGCGCAGACTTGGTTTTCGCAGCCCTCGTGTCCTTTTTGAATCGCCCTCCAATTCTCTCATCTGCACGGTCTCCTTTCTCTCCTTGTGCTCGCCGTGCTGAGGTTTCTCTCTGGTAGCATCGTCCCATCTATAGGCAGTCCTTTGCCTGTCCTGCTGACAGCTCGATAGATCCATCCCGCCGCCTCTTGCTCGGTACCGTCATAGTATTTCCCGTTCCCAGATATGTCTGACTGCCAGCACTGCCTATACCAGTATTTTGATGATGTTGTTTAAATCTCTCTTGGTCTTGCAGAAATGGACAAAAGTCATAGTCTGTTCCCCACCCCCCTCCCCTCTGCTAACCCTTCATGTTCTTGTCACTGACCAGTTCATCTTTTCTTATTCTTACAATACGTGTTTTCACTGAACCTTGTAGGAACATTCTTCCATCCCCATAGTGTTCCCACTTTACTCTCTCCTAGGATAATGTGGCTTTGGACTCCTCCCTATTTTGTTTTTTTTTCCTCATAGGATTATGTGTATTTTGTTCAGTGAGACTTTTACTGTGTTTTGTTCAGTGAGACTCTATTGGTAACTCATTAAGTCACCAATAGACTGTTGTCTTTGGTTTTGTTGCTTGGGGATCCAGTCTACCTGCTTTGTTCTGACAGAGAAACATATGTCCTGATGTTCCTCATCCCCCTTTCCTTCTAGCTGGCCAGTCTTTAGAACTGGGAAGCAGGGTATGGTGGATGGTTGGATGGATGGATATATATGTGATGGGCTAAAGATGTTGCTGTGTGCTATGGCAAATGATTCAAGGGGCAAGGTCTTTTTCTTTATGATTTTTATAGGAAGAAATGATAATACATCCCTGACCCTGGAGGTTGGTGGGGTGTGGGTTTTTTGGGGGTTTGGTTTTTTTTTTTTTTTTTTTAGCTATAATGAATGGGCTGCTTTTTTTTCCCCATTGAGATGGGTAAAAATAATGTAGGAAGAAATGCTGGTGTAGTGGTTGTCAGGCTTTGACAGCTAACTTGTTCACATCCTGTTCTGCTACTGTTGTTTCCTCCAGCATTGTATGAAAGCTGCATTATGCTTTCAGTTGTGTGAATTTGGACTTATTGCAATGGGAACAAATTTTTTGTGCAAGATACACAGTCTGATTGGATTGGTTCTCTTGTTTCCAAAAACCTCTTGGAAAGTCGGTTTGTAATATTACATGGATTTGTTTTGTCACTTTGAAAACAGAAATAGGTTAAATTTTATTGTAACTCTAGCTTCAGAATTGTTTTTGTAGCTTTCAGTTAAGTCTTAACCACAAGGTTATTAATAAACTTCTGTTCTACTTAAAGGATACGGTGTTTAATACACTTCTTAGTGGGGATGCCTTGAGATGCCTTGCTGAATGACTTTGTCAAAAGTTTGCTTTTCTCAGATACTTAGTAAGTGCAGAACTGGTACTTTTGTTTCATGTTTGCTGAAGAAACTGGCTACTGTTAAGTCAGGGTGCACAGTCAGTAGCTGGCCATTTGCCATACTGAGTCGGCATTTCCAGATGCAATGGCCCAATCCGTTCAGTTGCCTCGGGAAACAGTGGTTTTGCTGCGGTTGACAACAGAGCCATCATTTCTTTTCTGCTATGTATGTTTTCATTTCAAACCACTTCTATGCTATGGAGACCTCCTACTCTGATTTATGCTTCTTTATGAAAGGACAACTCCTCTCAAGTTTTTAAGTCCCCTTGCATACGGCTAAATAGTTTAGGCCCCCAAAGTAAAGCCCACATTGGACATTATTTCAGAAGACAACCTTAACAGAAGTACCTCTTCTGTTCTGTTCCTAGCCTTGCTTTTAAATTCAATTTAAATTTTAAATAACTGCTACAGTGTGTACAGCATACAGCATATAGTGTGTTAGAGCTGTACAGTATCTGTGATACACATCAAATGCACAGTAGCTGCAAATGAAAATGTTGATTTGAGGGGTGGAAATTTTATACTGTAAGTTCCCTCTGGTGAACTTGTTCACTACGTGAAAGTTGTGACTTGGTTTTGAATCCGAAGCTGGGGTTTTTTTCAGCTGTGGTTCTTAGGAAGAGTATTCTCTGCTGGGTCATAGCTTTGTGGAGCAACTTCCATTGTTGCTGGTAACAATGTGCTTTAAAGGAACTGCAGGATTTCTCTTCTAGAATTGGCTAGGAGAGTTATATCACATTGTAGCTTACTTGTAGGCTTTTGTTTGAAGAGTATTAAGATGATGACACACGAAGAAGAAAAAATTACAGTGCTCTTTAACGCTGAATAGTTTTTTGTCTGTTAGGACCTTAATTGCCATAGAAGGCTGTCAGTGCAGTCCTGTAACTGCTCAGTGTTGACCCCTTAAGTAAATGATGAAAACTGGTGGAGATAAATCCCTATTTTTTAATGTAATAGAGTGGATAAATAAGAAAGTAGAAGTTAAGTTTCTCTGAAGAGAAAGCACTTTGTCTTGAATCAAGACTGTATCTAAAATTGCATGTGATAATAAAATCTACTTGGTATGGGCTTACTTTGAATTCAGTCATCCAGGCTATGGGAGAAGAATAGTATTTCACTCTTTTAAGATAACAGCTAGAATTTTGGTTTTGATTGTAATAGATGGATGATGCGCTGTGTACAAACTGCTTATATATATTTTTTTGAGTAGGACAAAAGATTAATCCAAGTGGTTAATTGAGGTCCTCTGAATTATTTCTCCTTGAAATGGAGATCTGCATTGAGAGAGGTCTGTGAAATAGCATTTTCAACAGATGCCCAAGTCTGTTCAGAGATAAACTTGCTTAAAGATAGACAAGCCTGTTTACTGTTCTTTACTTAGCAATAACAGAACCCAGTTATGTAAGATGGCCTCAGGTATGTCTGCCTTTCACATTCAGCAGAATGGTAGGATCTCCTTATATTTGGACTAGTACTGGCTTCAACTGGAAGAAACTTCTGTCTTGCATATTTTTATTTTGCTTGACTTTATTTCTAAATGAGTATGACAAAACCCAAGTGAATACCCAATCAGAGATCTGTCATCTTTAACACATTCACTATAAATTTTTATCTAAAGGATAGAGTTTTGTATGTAAAAAAACCCAGATGATGTGTGGATGTACAGAGAGAGGATTTAAGTGTGTTGAATACTTCAATACAAATGCATAAATCCAGATATCAAGAGTGACTTTTCAAAATTCAGTTTTCCTGCAGAGTAGGTTTTTTGATTTTGTCTTTAAGCAATAATTTAGAACAGGTGATAGAGACCATGTGATAACTGCTTTATAGTGATGAAGAGTATGCATGCTGGATAACATGGGAAGTGCCAAAATTCTGTACTGTGCACTTCCAGATGACTAATTTCTTGGACCTACAGGTATCGTACGGGAATCAAAGTTTTGGACATACAACAATACTGTGGAATCTTAAATTTCTGAAAATCATTCACTGCTTTTGTTTCTCCACCACAGTGTTTTTCAGTGTCTTTCAGTAACTCTTTGAGGAGAATAAAAATACCCATCTTGCACAGTGTTACATTTGCTTTCATTAGCTTAATTTTTTTTTTTTTTGTTTGCAGAAGTTTTGCAAACCCTCCCCAAGTGTTTTCACTACCTTTTTTGCGGAAGTGAGAGGGTGAGGATTGAAGTGTATATATGTGAAATATGTAAAATGCTCTTTTTTTTGACCACCAGTGGTCTGAGGCCACAATATGTGGATATCCTAAAGTGAATATATATCCTAGAATGGGTCGGCTTAGGAAGTTAACTCAGTGTTATTTTGTATTTACTCAAAATGGGATGTTGTTGGGAATTGCTATTCTTGCCTTTTTTCTTAATAGCCTTTCATCTTTTTGATAAGAATAATTTAATTGGAGCGTTACCTTCCTGTTTCTGTCAGATTTTAAGATTCCATTAAGTATTTCAGGGCTGTAACTTTCTATCTTGGTTATTTGCTCACTTAGTGTATTTAGGCTTCAGCTGCTTAACACTGTGCCTTCTTTAAGAGTGTAATATACAGAAAGATTTAGCTAAAAGAAACAAAGTTGATTTTGGTCATCTAGGTATAATACTAATAATTCTTTTGTGAAGAAGTAAATGCACTGGAATTACAGCAATGTAATATAAAAAGGTATTGTGACATATTTGATCTGGAATGCCTGTCAGTTCAGTGTTCACCTTTGTAATGTGGTAATAAAACACATATCCAAGACTTTTTGTGGGATCCAGTGGAATCTAGAGTAAATTTGAAAGTAGGACTTGTATCACAAAGTGTGTTCATCTTTCTGTTTTGTACTCTGCCATGTAGTAAGAAAATATCCTGTAGCTCTAATAAACTTAATTTCTAAAGTGGAAATGGCTCCAGAATTTCTAATAGTCTGTAGAGGTCTACCTGCAGATTTGTATAATGAGACTAGTTATTGTCATTTTAAGTGTCAGGACATCTGTTATCAAAGAATTATCTCATCATATAATTTTTCCTAGATTCATGCCTTTTTCACAGAGTGGCCTAGATTGGAAGGGGGTGCAAAGGATCATCTGGTCCAGCCTTCTGTGGGAAAGGGAGCCTAGATGAGATTGTCCAGCAACTTGTTCAGTCATGCCTTGAAAACCTCCGGTGTGTGAACTACACCATATTCCTGGGGATGTTGCTGCAGTGAATGTTTGATCTCACTACAAAAAAATTCTTTCTTCTATCAAGATGAAAGCTATCACAGTGCAATTTGTGCCTGTTGCCCCTCGTCCTTTCTGTGTGTCTCCTTGTGAAAAGAGAAACTCATCCTGTTTGTAGCCACCCTTTAAGTATTGGAATATTGTGATGAAGTCCCCCCCAG